AAACAACGAACAAACTTTGATACAAAATTTATAATTTCTTGGGATGAATTAATATTTGGAATAAGTAACTTTACATTATTTGGGGTGAATTAACAGAAAAGATCCAAAAATTCTACCAAGATAATGATAACCATTTGTGACCATACAAAAGATTTTTAAAGCTTGCCTGGAAAGTTCTTACTCATTTGCCATATTTGACAGAATGTGTGTGTATGGATACCTCATATTAAACCAAACTTGTGTCATATCCTAACACCATGAGGAGGTATATAAATACCACTATATTCAACAGGTACTGTACCTTGAAATTACCATTTATTCTGGTCTTTACGGAACTCCTTTGATAAAAAAAAATATTTCAATTACAAAAGGCACCTTGGCAGTTTTTGAATAAGAGAGAGAAAAATTTCTGAAATTATGGAATTATGAAAACTAGCAGTTAGTGGATCAAAATGAAAAATATATTTGATGAAGTTCATGTCAAAAATATTAAAAACAATTTGTTCGTATTTTCAATTAATAAACTAAACAAACTTCTTCAGCCAATACAATATTTTTTTCTTTTTTTATATGACTGCATCTAAGTATTTTTTTTCAGAGCCTAAAGAAACGTCATCTTTATAAATTCATCCATCTTCTTAGTTTTTTGCCAACTTGTTGGTCATTCAGATTTTAATGATAGTAACATCTGATAAAAATATGAGATTAAATTTTTCATATGCAAAATAAATGCTTATTCACTTCTGGAATTCTGTCTAAATTAATATCAGCCATATGTAATATTGAACATCACAGTGAATGCCAATCAAGCTACCCTCTGTTGACCTGACAACATATATTCCAGAGATTGCTTCATAGAAATATGGCATTGCCAATAGGATACCTAACTGCATTGGATGAACCAGAGCACATAGAAATGTAGATTAGATGATTTGTACATTTTGTTTTGACATTTAATAAACAACATTTCTTCAGGTAATTAACAATGATGGTACCATCATTGTTAACTACTTGATGAGAAGTTGTTTATTAACCATCAAACTAAATGTACAATTTTGTAGTAGTTACATGTTTTAATGTAACAGTGTATAATAAATATTTATTGCTCTACTCTTGTATTGAGCCCTGTTTTAAATTAATGTTTGGAATGTTGGAATTTTATTCGTCGTTCTTTTGCATTTGGATATATATATATATAAATAAAAAGAAAGAACAGTAAGATATATAATCCGGTGTTCTTATAGTTATTTTTATTTTTACAAAATAGTGCTGAATGTAAATTTACAGAGCATTAATATTATAAATTAACTGATTTAAAATATGTTTTTTTTCACTACACAGTTCTAACTATGTTTCAAAAATGGAAGATAAAATCTTCAAATTTAATTTTGTAATTAAATTAAAGAGATTATGGAACTAATGTCTTTAATTTAATTACAAAATTAAATTCGAAGCTTTTAGGTTCCATTTTTGAAACATGGTTAGAACTGTGTAGCAAAAAAAAACATATTTTAAATCAGTTAATTTATAATATATATATATATATATATATATTTATATATCCAGGAAAGATGATAAAGGAATAGAGTACAATTCCAACATTCATAACATTTAATTAAAAAAAATATGTGTGATAACATTATATAAATTTTTTTATATCAAGATCAATATTGGCGATAAAATGTATGACAAAGTGGAAAAAAAGTTTTTGTGTGATTCTTTTTGCACATTAGAACTTCATCGAACTGAATTTATTATGATGGTGTGACTACACATGTGTATGAACCAGGAAGGATGGCAATTCTATTTTTTTTATTTTTGGTATGTAAACTGGCCAATTTCATTTACATTCTTTTTTCTTTGTTTTTTTTTTTTGTTTCCTTCACTTTTATTATTAGATATCCCAGACTGTAATAATAGAAGATCTGTCAAGAATGGTGAAATGTTATAAGAGCCAGGGCGCAAATTTACTGTGGATGAACTTGTGGTCAAGCTACTCTCTAAACATTATCATCATCTATTATATAAATATACAGGGTGTAATGGGTAAATTGTCACACCACACCCACACAAGCAGGTGAACCCAGTTATGGCTGTTAGACAATCTCTGTGACCAAATCACCCCTTACATCTGGCCACTTAACTCCACAGACTACAACCCTCTTGATTATTATATATTGGACGCAGAGAGACCAACAAAACTCCTTGTAACACCAAAGATGAACTGAAGGCAAGGATTATGACAGCTTTCACCAACTTAAACAAGGAGACCATCCAGAAGTGTTGCAGGAAATACCAAACTAACCGGGAGGCTGTGCTTGAAGCCAATGGCAATTTTATTGACTCAATTTACTCTTTAGTGTTTAAAGATATTTTTGGTAAATATATCTATTAAAATGAGATGTCAGTATTATTTTCATTTTTGCATAATTTAGATAACAATTTACCATCCTACCCTGTATATATATATATATATATATATATATATATATATAATGAATTTTTAAATCAAACCATATTTCTTATTACTATAAACATTATTTTAGTGGTTACATGTGTCTGAGGAGACAACCCTCTTTATTTACAAGCATTCAATTGAAATTATCATTTCTTGATATAGATCATCAAAAGTCCTATTTCAGAAATTGTACCTCTTCACAGACATTGAACCTGCATTCTCTTTTTTCTGGGAAACTACCTTTTAGACATGCATATATATATATGTTGTAGAGTAGTTTCACAGTGGAGGCTTGTATTTCACTAAGTCGGTCCTAAAAAGGTTCGACGTACAAAACATTAGGAACTTGATATAATAGGTAATGACGCAGCAATCTAGTTGTGGTGGCTGATACTTTAATATCTGACTAACGGTCGTCCGACATTAACTGATTAGCCAACTCCCTGAGCGACTTAGCGGCTGCTACTACTTCTATTTATAGGTAGGAGAGTCTATTAACAATAGAATAGAATATATATATATATATATATATATATATATATATATATATATATATATATATATATATATATAAAATTTTTTCTATATTAATTTTTTGATTGGCTGAAATAAATTTATTTCCCAGCATTCATTTTCTTTTTCATTTTTTTTTATATAATGTAAGCTATGTGTGGAGCCTGTTTTATTTTGGTAGATTTATAGTCACAAATTAGTAGACTCTGATCCAGCAAACTTCTGCCGGGTTTTTCTGCCAAGTTCAGTCTTTTCTTCTTCTTCTTCCTCATTTTTATTTGAGGGTTGCCTTTTCTTTAGTTGAAAGAGAAGTATATAGACAGCAGTTTAGAGAGAGAGAGAGAAAGAAAGAGATAAGGGTTTTAAAAGAAAGCACAAATGTCTTATTTTAATTTGGATTTTTTTCTTTTTTGTTTATATTATTTTTATATTTTATTTTATTTTTATCGGGCTCACTACAATTCAACCACATAACTGCCATTTTGTTCCACTAACTTTTGCTATCTTTGAGGTAGCTTCATGATTCCTTTCTCCCAGATCTTTGAATCTTTTGAATTAATCTAAGTTTTTTTTTTTTTTGTCTTTTTTTCATTTTTTCTTTCAGAGAATTATTAAGAGAATTTTGTAGGGATCAAAATAAGTAGAAATTCAAAGGTGCATATTCAGGTGAATATGGCAGGTATAGAAGGCTAAAATGCACACAAAGTTTTTTTACAAGAAACAAGTCACTGTAATACATTTCAACACAGAAAACATGACTTGACTGACTACATAGGAACTTTGCACCAAGCAACAAATATACCAACAGTGGTGCAAAAGCACTAAGTGATTAAATGATGATGATGTTGTACACAGGTGAAAGGAAAAGATATTAAAGCTATTAAGAATGTACTCATTTGTATGTGTGATGCGTGCATGTGTGATACACCGGGGAAAACGAATGTGCCCCAGCAAAGATATCATCATCCTCATTTTGCTACATGTAGCAAGCGGTAGAAAGAGGAAGGAAATTCTTGTCTTTTTATAGAACTTAAACAGCACCACCTAACGGATGTTTGGCGAAGCTAAATGGGGTAAACCACAATGCTAATAAAAATTGTGAAACTGTCAACATCATTTCCATTTTTGATTATATTTTGCCTTTTTCTCTAGTGTCGAATATGATTTATTAATTTAAAGTTTCTTTTTTAATTTTTAATCTATTTTATTTACACATTTTACGAAATTTTTAAAAGGAGCATGGACTGATCATGTACCTTTGTATCAGCACAAAAAGCGGAATCAGTAAGCCAAGTTAAAATTCTGACTTAATCTATTGCATTCACTTTCGCACCTATGCTACTGTAAAAATCTGCAGAGTAAACTGGACCCTCTAGCCTTGGGTGGTAGTCAGTCTAGGAGAGAACCTGCTTTCAATTCAAAACTGTAAAGAATGCAATGTGAAAACACTCCACAATCTTTCCTATTTTTGGTAATTTACAGATAAAAAAAATGAATCTATGAATAGCCTTGACTGCCCATGGAGATATGGTAATTAAAAACAGAAATTATTTTTTTTTAAATCTAGTTACAAGTATTCCAATATTTTCTCAAATTCTTCTGATATTTAATTTCATCATAGTAGGTTAAATGCCTGTAAATCTGTTCCAATTCTAGTATTTTGTTTATTCTTGAATTAATACTGAAAATAAATAATAATAATACTCATTCATAGCAGTCCAACAATAAGTATTTGAAATAAAAATTAAAGTTCCAAGGGACACAATTCCAATACACCCGGTGATAATAAAAAAAATAACACCGGACATATTGGTACAAAAATTACTTATTAAATTCATTGTGTAGCGTAAAATTTAAATTATTTTAAAGATCTATACCTAATTATAAATTATTTTTAATCATTGTTTCGGAAATGAGAAAATTTCACTGAATCCAGAAATCTATTCAGAGCAAAAGCCTTTGATGTTACACCGTTTCTTTATCACACTAACACGTGGGACTAATTTCCTTTTGGTACTTACACAGAAAAATGGGTCCAAAATCTCGACCCAAGCGCTCGAAAGAAGATGATAAAGACTCGGTAAGAAACTTGTTTGAGTATTAATAGTTTTTGTTTGTATTATATTCGTGATTTTAATTTGTCACAACTTGTAACTCTTCTTACTTAATTTGATTCGCTTTTTTCGTTAATTGTTGGTCTATTTAAAAACGGCCTAACAAAATGAATAGTTCTTAATTTTACAATGAAAATGCATTTTCAAATAACCAAATGTTCCAACATTTAAAAAAATATATACTTGTGTAAGATTTTGGCTACGATTTATTTTATAATTTGGTATAGTTGGGCAATAGGAATCGCGATCAGAAGATTTGTTTTTAAACATTTTTTTCATCACTCCGAAACACAAATATCAAAAGAAAGAAACAAAATTATAAAATTTTATAAGAGTTAATACGGCGATAGGGAAGTCCATGTGTAAGTTCTTTGCAAAATTGATCTCCCCACGGAAGCCAAAACAAATATCCAACGTTATTTCTCAAAAGTTCAAAACTAACAAAAAAAAAAAAAAAATCATCTTTGAAATTCGTAATCTGGATTGATGTAGTAATACGAAAAAAGAATTTGCACAAAAATAGGCTGGAGACGTTTTATCACATGTTTTTCCTCGAGAGAAAAATATTAACTTCTTTTCACAATACTTTGTGTTACTTTTTTAGGGGACTTTGAAAATTACTTCCTGTCTGACATGATTTTTCTGTTTGGTAAACTCGAAAGAAGGAAAATAAACATCATTATTACAGTAGATCAGTCAAAGACATAGGAGGTTGACTACCATTTAGACACGCTTCTGAGGAAAACCAGGAGCGATTTATCGCCTGCTTATTGACTTTTTTTAACTTCTCACTGTCCTGTTCAAAAATGTTCACACAAATTTCCCTCGCAAAGACTGGTCCACTCATGACAATTATCGAAAAATTTTATTTGAAATAATGTTTTTAGATTAGCATTCTTGAAACTGGTCAATTTTTGCATCTTCTGTGTGCTATGTCCTTTCAGGACGTTGGAGATTATGGCTCTCTACAATTTCCTCTCCTTTAGTTCTTAGTAATTTTTGTCTTTTGACTATCCCTCCTAAATCCTTTTCTACCATACATGTACAAAAGCTCTTTGAGTAGGCTACTCACTGTTTCCCTCAATTCCTCTTGTCTTCAATAAACCCTATGAGTGTCAAATTTTCCAAGCCCTCTTTCCTCATTATGCGTCCCAAAATTTTTCTGATGTTAAGGTGTTTTTTGTTTCCACTTTCTCTTAAACTTTGTTGTTGCTTAGATGTTCAGTCTATGATATTCTCAGCATCCTTCTGTAGAAGCACATGTTGCTTCAAGTCTCCTCTTCATCTGTGAGGAAATTATTCGACATTTACTACCATGTAGGAAGACTGACATTACATAACAGTTCACTACTCTTTTCTTTGTTTCTGACAAAATTTTCCTGTTTTTTCATGTTTTCGCTATCCCAGTGCACCTTCGGATCTTGGTATCACACTTCCCGGATAATTAAATTGATAAATTTGATTTTGATATTTCCAACTTGAATTGTAATGAGTTGGTCGGTCAACTTGACACCCCCAAAGCGAGTGTAGGTGGGCATGCGTGGGAACTGTGATTGGTAGCTGGCTTGTTGTTTTGCATAGGTGAGTTACCTAGCTGTATGTAAAGGGCTGGAATGAGAAGGAGGGCAGTTTCAGTCTCAGAAGTGAAGACTGTGTCTGCCGTTACAATAGCAGGAGAGAAAGAGATGAAATCATTTATTTTTTCGTGACACATTCCAACACATGAATTTGCATATTTGGACTATTCCTTTTGCTGACAACCATACATTCGTCTTGCAATTGTTGTTTACTTCTTTCTTTTCTTCATTAGTTTCTGTGGTTTCCTTTCTATGTCTATTAACATTGTGTCATCTGCATATTTTATGTTGCTAAGATTGTGGCCACCAATAATGAATCCAGGTAGGACTTCTAATTCTCTCAGAATTGCCTCACTGTATAGATTGAATAAGTCCGGTGAGATGACACATCCTTCCTATTTTAGTATATTTACTGAATTCATTTTTTGTCCATATGCAGGCAGTTTGCTCCCAGTATATGGATTATTCTAATATCCTTCCCAAATAAATCACGCTTACCTAGCATTTCAAATAACTCTTTATGATTCACTTTATCAAACTCTTTTTCATAATCTATAAAAACATGGGTATACATCTTTTTTTTGCAATTGTATTGGTCTTTCTGAAGAGAATTCATTTTTGGATCTACCCACACTAAAATGGCCTGGTGCCACATCTCATCTTCGTAGAAGGATTTGAGAAATGCACTCTTCATAGTAGTTGGTTTGGTTATATCGCAGTGAATGTTGGACAATTGCATCACAGAGGAAGAAGATGAATGCTGGGAATACTATAGACAGAATATGTGATCAATGTGGAAGTCTTAAGAAAAATAGAAACAAGAAAACTTACAATCTGAAAGAGACAGTTGAAATTTCTGGAATGCATGAGAAAAGAGTCAGGAGAATGTGGCGAATAAAAAGAAAACGGCAACCAGCGAGTAAATTCAAGCTCTCCCAGCTGGTATTCCAACCTCGAGTCGTTCCTTCTTGAGTTCTGTCTCAAAATCGCACTAACAGACTTTTCTAGCTGCCAACCGTGAACGTCACTCAAAGATCCCCCCTCCCCACTGGAAAAAATTAGTTGCTTTTATATTTGTCCATATACCCATAATCCCTTGCGTCTTCATGCGATTCCATAATTCATTGCATCCCTGTCCAATAATGCATTGCATCTTTATTGCATAAAAATGCAATGCAAGTCCCCCCTCATTCTTTTACGTTATCTGGCCAAGGACGGATTACAGCAGATTGGTAAGTGCTTTTTTCTCCCTCATTTTAACTGCAGTAGCTTTACATGCTAAGCAAATACGGGCTCTTTTTTGGCGGGGACAAGGCAAGTCGCAACCAGTTGTGCTCATCCCAGGTTCTGTCTCATCACATCTGCCACAGAGAATTTAACACTTACAGGACATGTTGAAGGCAAAAGAAACTGGGAAACAGCAAGCAACATATTTCAGAGAATGGATAGCAGAACAGTGATAATGAGTGATATTACTTAGAGCAATAAAAGAGAGGAGGTTGTGTAGAGGCATGATTGGTCACATCCTTAAGAGGCATAGAATAACATAAATAGTTTCGTGCAGCTCACTGGTTACATTTTCTCTGATATTCATTATTGTACCAAATCTGCAATTCCACTATAGCTAAGTATATTTAGAAACAGGAACACATCAACCTTGGAGATGATTACATCTTTTTGGCATCATGTCACCCTTCAAGATGCTCTTAATAGGGGTTTCGGTCATGCATATATTAGGAGACACAAGGCATTACTCTGTGTTCCTGCAGTTTCCATTAGATTCAAAATAATTAAGTTTCATCCATTGTCCAGTGCAAGAGATTATTTTTGCATGATGCCATTGCTGTTCATGTCTCAGATCTGGTCTCTAAGATTCTGCCATTGACCACATCCAATATTTTGGTGTTGATGTCTTTACCGTAACCTTGTTATGGTTTGGCTACCAAGGTGCTATCCCTTGACAAATAGCAACCTGTAATTTGGTCATTATAGTTTTGAATTCAGAATTGGCTTTGTCCTAGACTGTTTCTCTTTGGTATTTTAATTTTGAATGATTTGAAAAACAGAATTTTTCTTACATATGACAAAAGTTAATTGTATTGATAAAAATCTGAGATTACTCATACAGAAAAATATTACAAGTAACTAACTAGTTTGTGCATTAGTACACCTCTATATGTCATCATTGTGATTTCAGTTGTGCAGATATTAGGAGACAAGTTGCTTCTCTGTGTTCACCAGTTTCCATCTAATTTGGAATAATTAGATCTTATCCATTGTTCAGTATGAAGGTCATTTTTTTTTTTTTTTTTGTATAACACTATAGCTAAATGTATTTAGTTCAATGCTACAACTCTGGTCTCTATAATTCTGCCATTGAGCTAATCTAATATCTTGCTGCGATGTCTTCACCACAACCCTGGCAGGGGTGGCTTTCCTCTTTGGGTTTTGAATTCAGAGTTGTTGTCCTCATAGATTGGTTGCCAACCAAAGCTAAATAATCTCTTCTACTATTTAAACAATAGCTGAGGGAAAAGAGAGGGGATTTATACCTTTCCTAAAGGTATTTGTGCGTAAGTAAATGTAACAAATTTGAATTTGGCTGCCCGAATTCTCATTCCCTGCTGCAATCCACTACACTAACTGGACTTCCGTTTGGGATGAAGTTGATATAAAAGATGAAGAACTTGAGTGGACAATATATATGGTGAAAAAAAAAATCTGATTCATAACCATTGTTCCCATGGCATGATATCAAAATAGATATTTATTTGGTTTGGGATTTTTTCCATTTTGTTTGAATGGAGTTAAGGTGCTTTCAGTCTTCATTTTTGTACCATGTCCTTTTAGGACATGGCTCTCCGCAACTTCTTGTCTTTTATTGCTGAAAGTAACATTTGAAAATTTAACCTTTCTTCTTCGTCTCTAGGTTTATATAGAGGGAATGATTATCCATTTCAAATTTTTCTTAATTCAGTTTCATGTTTTAGGGAATCTTGCTTTTTTTGTTTTTCTTTCCATTCATTTTCTTTGTAGAATTTCATTCCCCCCACCTCCTATTTTCAGTATAAATTTCTGCTTTTGCTTCATTATAATACTTGGTGAGAAAGTGTAACAATATATAATTGTTATTAAAATAAGAAAATAAAAGGAAAATGAAAAATTTTACTAGCTGGAATATCCACCCATTGGATAAGTTGCTCCAGGTTCATAGGATTTCGTATCCTTCAGCCCTTAATCTAACTTGATGAGTTTCCAGGACAACCCTTGCAAAGAATGCTATAATCTCTATCTATAAAAGGCAGGGTGTGTGTGTGTGTGTGTGTGTGTGTGTGTGTGATGAATGCACGGCCGCAATTTTCGACGGATTTGCACCAAAATTTACATGC